GAAAACAAAGCAACTAGAAAAAGGCATCTTTATGCTAAAACTGCATATAAAAGAAATGAACAAAAAAGTCAAACATTTTTATGTAACTAATACACATAATATGCCTGCATATCACATCTTCACCAGAAAAGTTGACACCGTGATCATACTAAACCAAGTCTTATCTGAAAACAAACCTATTATTTTTCTAAATTTTACACGGAGAGTAGTTACAAAAACACAAAAGTGCTGAATTAAATCGTGATACGAAAAAAGCTTCAGAGATTGATTTATTGGTAGTTAAGCTCAAAGCTGCACAATGGGATATCTGTGCTCTGCACACCACAAGTATCTAAACCCAGTTTCTAGCCTTGTAAGTCTGCAGACATATCGCTGTGCCACTGGAGGGGTTACAGGTTGAAACTGATAGAAATTGAAAAGTAACACCACCTAATGAAAAATTAATTTATAAAACAGTTCACTAAAAAATAAAATAAATCTTGTTTTTAGTTGTCTGTGATTCCCAAGGAAATACTAAATATGACCGCTTCTGCATAAAGACATTATGTAATAAAAATAATGGTATGCTTTGATGCTAAGCAACCAAAGTATACAGGCTCTACATTTTTGTTAGTTGGCGTGTATAATCATTACTATCTTAATAAAAGATAAAACATTAACTAAAGGTAATTGCATGCAGATGTGAATTAATTTATTGAACATGACTAAGTTACATGTAGTAATTAACTTATCAATTATAGTGTTATTTTGCATCATTGAACCAAACTTATATAATGACCAGAGCTTGATATTTGCATTTTGTTAGAAATATTTTGTAATTTCATATCTGATTATTGATTTTCTATCATTGTCTTTTGAACAACTTAAACATTAAACAGTAACCCAATTCACTTTCATTTTAACTAATACCAGTTGCTCTAACCTTACTAATGAGACAAATCTCCTGAAATAGGCAGCTGATTTTTTTTCTAACATTAACTGTGAAATATCTATGTATAGAGTAAATTACAAAATAATTAATAGCAAATAATTTGTGTGTCAAATTTTACACAATCTGCACTATTATGGTTATTTATTATCATTTTCGTTTAATCGCTTTATACCCATCTAACACATGATGTTTCTACAATGTTGCTGGATAGTTGTATGTTGGTAAAAGTGAGAATGTTCTGCATTGTGACAACGTTGTGGCACTGTTAAATGTTAATGGGGAATATATATATTAATTAAATAAGCAATTTATAATAATTTCATTATCAGTTTGCATGTTTTGAAATACCGAACAACATTATTTGATGTATCTTTTGCATGCTTTATGCTTTTGAAAATTTACAAAGGAGGAATCCATTTTCACGAGGTTGCAGCAATGTTGTATTCAAAATTTTTATTGAAACACAAATTGTAGCCTAAATAATATCTTTACACTTTATACT